TCAAAGCTTCGAAAAAAGTGGTGGATCACCTTTAGTAGCTTGTGACATAGCAGCATTTATAAAATCTTCACTTTGAAGCATAGTTTGATTATATGCAGCCTGTTAAAATATAATTAAAAGAAATGTACAAATATGCATAAAAAATAATTATGATATTCTAGGTGGAAAAGTATTGAAGCTTACAATATGATCAAGACCCTCTTGAACAGAATGGTCTCTTGAATAAATTAAGCTTAATTTTGAACATTGTACTGCAACTGGACTTTTATTTGCAATTTCTTCTGCAAGTGTCATTGAATTATTCAATAAACTAAAAAGGAAAATGTATTTTTAGTTTAATAAATTATTCTTAAAAGTAAAATACATTAGATTGATTTTATTATTTACAAACAAAAACGTTTTCTACCTTTCTTGATTATCAAGTAACCGGCTTACAAATCCATATTGTAGAGCTTCAGTTGCTGTAAATTTCCTTGCAGTATATACAAGCTCCCTAACTAAGCTATCAGAACCTATAATTTTTGGAAACCTTTGCAATGTACCTACATCAGCAGCCATACCTAAAGCAACTTCTTTTACTTGGAACCATGCATCCAAAGTACAATAACGAATGTCTGCAGCAGATATCATATCTATACCAGCTCCAATGCATGCACCATGTACAACTGCAATCACAGGCTTTGGGCACTAAAAGATAATTAAAAAAAAAAATACTAATGGTATTCATAATAAACGATTTAAATTTAGTTTAAATAAAAGCATTATGTTTAATAAAAATGATAATAAGCAACCTGTTCTATTGCACTAAAACTCTCTTGATATTCTTTTATTTTTAACTGTAAAATCTTGCATTTTCGGGCAACATCTTCATGTTCTGCTAATTCTTGACCTAATTTCATTATGTCTTTTATATCAATACCTATAAAATAAATTCCACATAAAACTAAAAAAATATAAAGCTACATAAAATATTCATAAAATGAAATATAACATACCTGCAGTAAATGCTTTGCCAACACCTGAAAGAATGATTACTCTACATTCTGGTTCTGTAGCTAATTCATTGAAGCAAATCTTAAATTCTCTGCATAATCATTAAATCAAAAGTATTAAATTTCAAACACAATATAAAATAATATTTAATTTAAATACATACTTCC